CTAACTAACTAACTAACTAACTAACTAACTAACTAACTAACTAACTAACTCAGTGGCCAGTTAGTTCTTTGATCTTCCCCTCCCCCTCCGGGGAGAGGTTAGCCTTGCCAGGCCACAGAGGAAGAGGATGCAGCCAGTCTTGAAGAGACCTGATAGGCTAGGGTCAGATAGTAGAGGAGGAGGTCCTCCCCTATCAGTGGACTAGGGGAGGGGCATAGGGGAATAAGAAGGGGGAAAGTAAATGGGACTGGAAGGAAACAGGAGGGTGCTATAGCAGGGATACAAAGTTAATAAATTGAAATAAATAGACAAACAAATAAATAAATAAAACATTAAAAAGAAAAGCGTTCTAATTCTCTAGTTTGGGCCTTTAAGTTGGAATTCTTCTATTGTCCCAAATTTCTTGAATGTTTTGTGTCAGGAAGTTTTTCAATTTAATATTTTTTGAGTGCTGTATTTATTCCTATTATTGTACCTTCAATATCTGAAATTCTCTCTTTCATCTCTCTCTTTCATCTCTTGCATTCTGTTGGTGATGCTTGAATCTGTAGTTAGGTCCACTTACCTAGATTTTCCATTTCCAGAATTTCCTCAGTTTGAGATTGTTATTTTCTTTTTCTTTTTCTTTTTTGAGACAGGGTTTTTCTGTGTTGCCTTGGCTATACTGGACTCACTTTGTACAGCAGGCTGGCCTCAGACTCACAGAGATCCACGTGCCTCTGCCTCTCCAAATGCTGGGATTAAAGGCATGCACCACCACACCTGGCTAGTTTGAATTTTCTTTATAGCTTCTGTTTCCATTTTCAGGTCTTGAACAGTTTTATTCATTCCCTTCAACTGTTTTTTGTTTTGTTTTGTTTTGTTTTGTTTTTTCTTGGCTTTCTTCATTTTCTTTAAGGGATTTATTCATTTCCTCCAATTTTTGTCTGTTTTTTCCTTGGTTTCCTTAAAAAATGTATTAATTTCCTCTTTAGGGACCTCTACCATCTTTATAAAGTTGGCTTTAAGGTCTTTTTTTTGCTTCTACTGTGTTGTAATATTCAGGGCTTGTAGTAGGATATCTGGGCTCTGTTGGTGACATATTGCCTCGACTGTTGTGGCTTCTGTTCTTACACTGGCATCTAGGCATTGGGTTTGGAATGATTATATCTCTAGGTGCCAATTTCTGGCTTCTGCCAAAACAATCCTGTACTTATTGTTATATTTCATGTTCTGATTTGCATAGGTTGAAGCAAAGTTTCATGCCTAGAATGAAGCCAACTTGGTTATAATGTACTTTTTTAATTAATTATGTATAAACCTTAAATTCCATTTGCAAGTATTTGTGTCTTTTGCTTTAACTTGGGGTCACTTTATGCTGGTATAATCTGATAAAATTAAGACATTATTTTGATTCTTTTATATTTATGAAGATGTGTGTTGTGGCCTAACATATGGTCTAGAAAGGAGTCAAGGGAAGAATATATACTTCGTATCTGTTGGTTAGAATATTCTATAGCACATTCTGCAGATATCTAATAAATAAACCATTTGATCTATGATACAATTGATGAATATTTTTTGTGGTTTATTAGTTTAAGTGGATGGTGTAAAGATGAAAATTGGCTACCTAAGTCACCATTGTCATACCAAGATCTGACAATCTGTGGTCATATTATTAGTTTTATGAAATTAGTACCTCATGATTCAGTACATATACATGTACAATTGTCATATATATATATATATATACATATATATATATTAATGTTCTTTTATAGGGGACTTCTTTATCTCTTCTAAGTTTGGTTTGACATGTACTAGATCAAGTATCAGAACAACTATGTCAGCTTGTTTCAGCTATAAACTCCTTGATAAACTATCCTCTATCCTTTTCCTCTTTCTGTGGGCATTGTGTAGACAACGTACAACTGACCTACTTTTGAAAAATTTATTCTTAAATGTATTACAATTTATTCACTTTGTATCCCAGCTGTAGCCCCCTCCCCCAACCTCTCCCTAACCTTCTTCTCCTTCCATGCCCCTTCCCCATCTGACCCTAGCCTATCAAGTCTTATCAGGACTGGTAAGGCTGCCCACCCCCTCAGGAGGAGGAGATCAAAGAGCCAGCAACTGAGTTCATGTCAGGGACAGCCCCTGTTCCCCTCACTAGGGTACCAACTTGGAGCCTGAGCTGCAATGTTTTTAATCCAGTCAGCTATCTGCATCATTTTAATAGTGAATGAGGCTATTCATATTTCAAGTTATTATTGGTAAAAAGTTATTCATTCCTGCAATTTTACTGTTTTTATTCTCTGGCTGGTTGAAGATTGTTTGTTCTTTTCTTTTTCTTTCTTGATATAAAAATATAACGTCTGCCTCATATTCCGTCACTAACAACCTTTCCTCCTGTTTCCTCTTATGTGTTGATGATGCACTTTAGGGTATTTTTCATAATTCATTCACGTCAGCATTTCTGCTTGGTCCTTGTGCATAATCTCAACTTCTTTGCTGAATTATTCCTCCATGGATTTCACTTCCTCTTTCACGTCCTTCTCATCCTCTTTGCTAATGTTTTCATTTGGGTGCTGTTCGGATTTTCTTACTTCACACATCTACTCTTCCAGTCCTCTATGTGGTCTAGAGATAGGATTCGGAAATATTTTTTTCTTCTTAATGTTCATTTTTATTATTCTTCATTATGTGTATGAGAGGGTATGTGCACATAAATTCAAGTGCCCACAGAGATTCAAGATGTCAGATGCCCCTGGAGCTGGGGTTACAGGCAGGTGCAAGCTACCTCATGTAGGTGCTGGGAAGTGAATTAGGTCCTCAGGATGAATAGAATGTGCTCTTAACCATTGAGTCAGCTCTCTGGGCCTCTGAAATATTTTTCTAGCATCTCAATCATCTTTGTCTTCATTTACTAGGTAGGGAGTTGTAAACTTTTGGAGGGATCATGTGGCTTGATTTACCATGTTTTATTCTTACCTGTATTTTCTGATTTTTCTTCATATTGTGGTTTATTTCACCCAAGTCTTCTTGGTGAGTTGTCTCCACTTAGGCTGATGA